CACACACACACACACACACACACACACACACACACACACACACACACTCAGTCATACTCTTTGGTTTTCTTCATTAGCATGTTTTGCAAAGTAAGCAGAACGTGTTTCTTGTCTGCATCTGTTCCTGCTGACATCACCATGTTATATCTGATCAGATTGATCTACATGGATCCACTCATGTGATATTGGTAATGATGAAACAGTGTTAATCAATAACAACTCATTGTCTGTCAAATGGGCTCATGAAGACCTCTGATTACGTCTGATGACTCTCAAAGTCCCTTTTGTGTTGTTTATCCATTCAACTTTCTTGCTTGACACTTGTTTGATAAACCTCAACTGACTTTTCTGAATGACTGACTTTATTGAGCCAGACCTTTCAAATGTAACATTTTACAAAAGTTTGCAGTAAGCAGAACAGCATGTGCACACACAAAGAAAGATTATTCTGTTAACGATTGGCTTTTTGAAATAAACTATAATTTGGCCAGTCGACAGTTACCAACGGGACTGTCCCGTCTGGCTTCTCGTTGCTTCTCAACATGGTTTTGTTTCGTTTGACTGCTGTAAACCTAATTGCCCCTTGGGGACATCAAAGCTCTGCTCTCAACTCTCATCACCAAACGGGTCTCTGTCTGACTAACGCCACGTTTCTGCTGCGCTCATTCTTACATTGAAATATCAAAACTATCCACGAACTTCAGTTTATATTATACATATCTTACAAAAGCAGCATATCCAATTATGTCGTATGGAAGTGCAAGCACTAGTTTTTTAAGCATTGAAAAGTAATTTGGTTAATAAGGTTTTTATCAGGTGAATTTATCAGAATTTATTTTCTATAAATAAGTGCAATATTCTTGTGGGATGATGTCTCTTTGTGTGTATATGTGTGTGTGTGTGTGTGTGTGTGTGTGTGTGTGTGTGTTATTCTAAGGTATCTGTATGTTATGCTTGTGGATTAAGTGTGTTTGAATAGGTACGGATAGGGATTCACTGAGGAGACACAAGTCTGATCAGCAAGACACCCAGAATGTGTATGCATGTTTGTGTGTGTATGTGAGCTGTAGCAAGTGTATTTTTAGCAGTGAAGACTCAGGGAACCCAGAACCTCTCCCTGTGATAAGAAGTGGCCAAAGTCCGCAGGCTAGCGAAGGCCTGAAGAGCAAATAGGGAACACACACACACACACACAAATGCAAAGACGGTGTTTAATATGCTGATACACCGGGCCTAGTTGCAGAGAGAAAGCTTTTTTGTTTGAACGTGGAGGGGCAAGTTAGGGGTAAGATTCAGGTTAGGTAAAGGTGAGGTGACATCATCAAAACAATGGGTTCTGGTGTCTTTGAAGGGTTCATGCAGAGTTCATGCAGAGAGGGTCAACGAGCTGTCAGGGTGGTGCACGGCGATGCAGAGTGTGATGGTGAAAGAACGAGAGAAGGACGGAGGATTTGGAAAGAAGTGTGAGAACTTTTTTTATCAATGTCAAAAAACTGTCTTCTGCTGTCAGTCAAAGGCAGGCTTCCCCCCCCCCCCCCTCTCAAAACACTGGGAGAGAAAACAAAAACACAATGAGGAAGCGAGAGGAGAAAAGGTCCCTCAATCCAGGGACGGTCGTAGCGCACAAGCCCGATAACAGCAGGAATAGTTCTGTTTGGACAAGGAGAGGATGGATTGGTGGAGGAGAAAGATTTAACAAATTGGTTGCGTCTGAAAAAAAAGAAGTGGAGAGAAAAAGAGAGAATGTCGGAGAGGAGGAGAAGGGAGAAGCCACCAGACAGGAGGAACAGTGGAAAACAAAAGAGGCTCCACACTCTGCTCTGTCTTATCTGTCTGAGGGTCTTATCCACCACTGGCTCTGTTAGTGTAACCCCATTTGCTCTCTCCCTCCCTCCCTCCCTGCCGGGCGCTCTCCTTCCACCTCATCCCTCCATCTCCATCTCCCCCTTCCTCCTCCTCCCGCCCCCACTGCTGCGGACCCCGTTATCAGGCCAGGGCTGA